CCCTTTTCTTTGTTGAAGAGGGTCTGTGCAATCCTTCTGCCTAGTCCGCCATCTTGCCCCGCCTCTCTTCATTCTTCTCTTGATGGGCATCTAGGTTGTTTCCATCTTTTTGCTATTGTAAACAGTGCTGTGATGAATATGGGGGGGGGGCATCTATCTGTTCTTTTCCTGGCTCTTATTTCTTTACGATGTATACCTAGTAATGGGATTGCTGGCTCAAATAGTATTTCTAATTCCAACTTTTTAAGGAATTGCCATACTGCTTTCCACAGTGGTTGTATCATTTGACATTCCACCGGCAGTGTAGGAGAGTCCCAAACTCTCCACATCCTCACCAGCATGTGTTACTTTCTTTCTTGTTGAATTTTGCTACTAGTGCAGGGACAAGATGATATCTCATTGTTGTTTTGATTTGCATCTCTCTAATGGCTAATGATCATGAACATTTCTTCATGTATATGTTGGCTGCCTGAATATCCTCTTTGGTGAAGTGTCTATTCATGTCTTCTGCCCATTTTTTAATTGGATTATTTGTCTTTTTGTTATTGAGGCATTGGAGTTTTCTATCAATTTTAGAGATAAGTCCCTTGTCAGATATGTCATTGCTGAATTTTTTTTCCTGATTTGTAGATTCTCTTTTGACTCTTTTAGAGAAGTCTTTGGAAGCACATCAAAATTTAATTTTTAGAATGTCCCATTCATCTAGTTTATCTTCAGCCATTTGGGAATTTTGGGTTATGCTTGATACTCTATTTATGCCATCTATTAGGGCCCCTAATTTTTCCTTTATAGTTTTAGGTTTCACATTTAAGTTTTTGATCCATCTGGAGTTAGTTTTTGTGTATGGTGTGACATACAGATCTTGTTTCATTTTTCTGCAAATGGATATCCAGTTTTGTCAGCACCATTTGTTATACACACCATCTTTTCCCCGTTTAATGGATTTCAGCCCTTTGTTGTTGGTTGTCCTTTTAATTTGTTGTAACTTTTCATTTTTCCCATGCTGCTTTCAGGATTTTTAGTCTTTGGTTTTGGTGAGTTTGATGATGATAGGTCTTGGTGATTTTCTTTGGGGGTCTATCCTGTTTGGGGTTCGTTGGACTTCCTGAATGGATATATTCTCATCTTTCATCATTTCAGGGAAGTTCTCCTCCAGCAAATCTTGCACAATTTTCTCAGTGGTTTTATTTTTCTCTTCCTATTCTGGAATTCCAATGACACATATGTTATTCCTTTTGATTGTATCCCACATGAACCTTAGGCTTTCTTCATTTTGTTTTAATCTTTTTTGTGATTGGTCTCATTCCAAGGAAGTATTCAGGTATTTGTCTTCAATCTCACTAATGCTGTCTTCCATTGATTTGATTCCACTCTTATGTATTTCTGAAAATTTAGTATTAATCTTCTGGATTTCTATCTGTAGATTCTGTATCATTTCTAATTTTTCAACTTGTTCTTGTATTTTCTTCTGAAATTGTTTTGTCTGTATGTTGATCTGTCTCTCAATCCTATGATGATGTCTAAGTATAATTCTTTGGAATTGCATATCAGGGAGTTCCAATGCTGCTTCTTCCTCAGGGATGTATACTGAGTCTGTATTGTGCTCCCCTGTTTTACCACTTTATCTTGCTTCTTTGTTTGGACTGTGATGGTCTGTTGTCTCTGAGACTTGTATTTATTTTATTTTAAGAGCTTGTTTTACATTCAGCGTAACACATACATTTAGTTTCAGTCCCCATTCGCCATGTCCAACCCGAACCCAGTCTCCTCCCTTCCCTACCCTGCAACCCTCCCCCTATGCCCCTTATAATCATGCACTCCTGTTTGTCCTGCCTTTCCTCAGTTTGAATGTTGGTCCTCTGGTGTCCCATGGTCTATTGCTCTAAGGGATGTATTACCATAGAGTATGTGGGTGCGTCATCCTGGGTTGGGTGGTCTGCGTGTACATCTTGTTAACTATTGGGGTGAAAGCCTGCCCCCGGGGGTGAGTTTTATTCCAGGTGCAGAATGTATTTCAGGGCTATAGTATTGGGAGTCTCACCATATTTCATCTGACCAGTAATTATGGTCATTATTGAGTTTTTGGATTTTGTTCCACGTTTTCCCTCCCACTCTATCCAGGATCTCCAGATTTGATCCTTTCCTGAGTGGTTGGCATTGGTAGCCAGGCACCATCCAGTTCTTCTGGTCTCAAGGGCCATCATGCCCTTTTTTTTTTTTCCTCATTCTTCCTCACTTCTGACGATAGGAGACCATTAGCTGCATCTTAGATGGCTGCTGGAAAGCTTTTAAGACCCCAGTTGCTACTTACCAATGCTTTTATGTATTTTGTTGTGCCAATTGAATCTGGTTTCCGCAGTACCAGTAGATCTATTGGATCTCTCTCCCATAGTGTCTAGATGTCTGTGAGGAATTATTCTGTGTCTGTCTTCTATTGTTTCTGTAAAGACTGCAGGTATTTTGTATCACTGGTGTCTGTGCAAGATTAGCTTCCGCTGAATCCATCCTTGGTCTAGAGTATACCTCTGTTCACTGATCCCTATCTGATCATCATGGGTGTTTAATCTGTATAGCCTAGTGTTTGGTGTTAATGGCAATGTGGTATTGTGGACACATTGGTTGGTATTAGCATCTGTCGTCTATCTCTTATGTGCACAATTCGCTGTCCTCTCATTTCCTAATGTTATTATGGTGGTCATATATCTATCTTTCCCATATATCCCTTCCCGTACCCATGTCAGCATGTAAGCCCCAACTAGCCCTCTTCTTCCTTCCCAATCCCAGTAACCTACTAGGTGAGTTCCCTTTCCCAAGCAAACCCTTCTCTGTCTTTTTATAGTAATAGTCTCAAACAGTACTTGTCTTTCTGCGATTGACTTATTTCACTCAGCATAATGCCCTCCAGGGTCATCCATGTTGCAAGATGATTCACATATCCCTCATTGTTCTTTAATGTGGGATAGTATTCCATTGTATGGATATACCATAATTTGGTTATCCACTCATCCACTGATGGGCATTTAGGTTGTTTCCATCTCTTTGCTATGGTGAATTGTGCTGTGATGAACATAGGTGTACATATGTCTGTGCGCTATCTCTCACCTCTTTAGGATATATTCCTAGTAATGGAATTGCTGGGTCAAATGGTACTTCTATTTTCAGGTTTTAAGGAAATGCCATACCATTTGCCACAATGGTTGTACCATTTTACAGTCCCACCAGCAGTGCACACTCTCTCCACAACTTTGCCAGCATTTGTTACTATCTGATCTGTTGAACTTTGGAGTGAGATGATATCTCATTGTTGTTTTGATTTGCATCTCTCTAATAACTGATGATCATGAGCAATTTCTCATATGTTTGCTGGCTGCCTGCATATCTTCTTTGGTGAAGTGTCCAAGTCTTTTGCCCATTTGTGAATTGGGTTATTTGTCTTTTTTGGTGTTGAAGTTTTCTGTAGATTTTGGACATAGTCCTTTGTCAGATATGTCATAGGCAAATATTTTCTCTGAATCTGAAGGTTCTCTTTTTACCCTTTTGACGAAATCTTTTGATGCACACAAGAATTTAATTTTTAAAAGGTCCCAGTCATCTAGCTTCTCTTCTATTTATGCCGTAAATTAGGGCTCCCAGATTTGCCCCTATTTTATCTGACATCTAGAATCCTGGTCCTGCTAGAACCCTCCTTCAAGTCTCATCAGTTTTATGAACTACTACAACACTGGACCTGTCTTTTCACACACATCATAGTATTTAGTTTCATCTTTTCTAAGAGACATGTTACATCATTACTCATTCATAATTATTACTCATTCATAATTCAAATCTCCTAGTCAAAAACTTATTAGAGACATCAGAAGTGCTATTAAAGGGTCCGTGTAGGATGTTATAATATATTAGAAGATTGATTTTTAAACTTACAAATACATCAAACAATTTTAACTTTGTTTTCTTAGATTTTGATATTAGGGCTACAACAAATTTAATTAAACACTGTCTGTAGACAAACTGCATAATGTACACCTCAAAGTCTTTATCTACAGGTATGGCCAGCAATAAATGAAGATTGTGAGACCATAATACATTTCCATGGTTACTATCTCACCCAGACAAGATTCATATTCAAATCATCAGGAGCAGTTTAGCAACCCCTTTTCCCTTCTTAAATGCCTTCTCAGATTGAATCTCAGAAAGCTTAGAAACAAAACATAAGTTAAATTTGCAGCAAAGGTAATTATTTTTAGGCTCTGCTATAGGATATCTATAGGATATTGTTCCTTCATAAAACACTGCTGAGCCTTCCATTCATTGGTAACTACTGTTTCTTTGGAATAACACAGCTCTTATGCTTGTAAAATAAGAATCAAATTTAGCATCCCTACTAGCTGTCAGATTTTTTGTCTTCCTATAAGAGCCATTCATTTGATGATAATATCTGACTTTCTTCAACTAATACAGTTCAGCTCTTCCAACATTTATCAAGCAACTAAATGAGAGGCATAGAGAAGATTAAAAAAAAAATCCATAACTATTATAAGTACTTTTTTTATACCATGCATTCCATCCTGCATCTTACTAGGTCTGCATATTTTTTCTCTAGACAATCAACTGGATATACTCTGTGTGGTTTGAACAGTCTTTTTTTCCCCAGGAAACCTCTATGCCATCAAATATTCCTTTTAACCTCTGGCAGGCTTCAGCCTTAAATTCAGATTTCATGCATCTGGCTTCAAATTTTATCTTGACTGTCATCCAAGCAGCAGCTGCTAATACCTGCTGGGTTCTTATTAAGAACTCCATAATTGGCAACATTAAAGTCTATAGATTCTTACAATACAAAACCTGAAGGCCAAAGGATCACCTTTGCCCAGGGAGTGAAATACCACCTTTTTGATTGGTCTAGTTCTAGAGCAGAAATTTCCCAGATAACTTTTTTTTCTGATTCATCTGACTGGAAAACAAAGACCTGGGTGGTAAAGCACTGATGAGAACATACTCACCACAGATGTGTTTAAGCTGGACATAACAGGGCTGTGGACAGCCATGCATTTGTTGGATGGCTGTTTGCAAGCTGACATCAGTAACAACACTTCTTTGGGATCCGTTGCAACTTTGACATCAGACAGTCCTTTTGCCCAAGCTGATGAGCCCACTAACCACAAGAATGAAAAGACTACAGTGACAATGAAGTCCTATAGAAATAAACAGAAAGACAAAACAATGAAAGAAAATGTGAATTTTAGAAATAAATCTATTAGTTTACACACATACAGATTTGCCTTGTAGAAAATTCCTAGATCTCACAACACTAGAACCAGGGTAACCATGTGAAAAAGCAAATAAAGGAAAGTTTATAGTATCTCTCTCTCTCTCTCTCTCTCTCTCTATATATATATATATATATATACACACATATATTCACACACACTCACTCTTTACCTACCAACTTAGTTAGGTGCCAAAGACCAAGTTGCTTTGTGAAAATGGATGACCACATGAGATCACAAAATGTAGAATGATTACTTCATTATATTATCACCAAATTACATCATTATACATCATTATATAACTGCCAAACCACTGAGAATCGTGTCCCAGCCAAGTTGATACATAACTTTAACCATCACAGTCAGCATTACTCAAGCTTGGCAACTTGGTGTTCATTACTGCTAGATGTACGTCGTTAATGCATACAATAGATAATTTTGTTTAACTAGTTTGTGAGATATCATGTTGGTAAGTGAGGAATACATATATACACATACACACACATGCACATAATGATTAACGCATTAAACTGCTAACTAGAAGGTTGGAAGTTTGAGTCTACTCAGAGGCATCTTGGAAGAAAGCTCTGTCAATCTACTTCCAAAAAATCAGCTATTGAGAACCTTATGGAGTACAGTTCTACTCTGACATCCATACAGTCATTGAGTTGACTCGACATTAAATAAATAATTAAATATATGAGCTCTGGTGGTGTAGTGCCTAAGGCATTTGACTGGTAACCAGAAGGCTGGTGGTTCAAACCCTCTAGCCACACCTTGGAAGGAAGATAGGGCAATCTACTTCCATACTGATACCACTTTGGAAATCCAAGTGATCCAACTCAATGGCAATGAGTTTGGTTTATATAATATGTGTGTGTGCATGTATAATAGCAATATTTATTGACTGATTATTATGTCCCAGGTATGTTGCTAAGTACTTTATAACAATCATTTCATTCTTCTGACAAAATCTCTGTGACAAAGTTATTATCATCATCCTACCTTTTCCTACCTTTAAGTAACAAAACTAAGGCAGAATTGTTAAACAACTTGTCTCAGGTTCCATTGATAATCAGTGATGGAGTCAGGATTCAAACCCCATCAGTCTGATTATTGAGCTCATGCTCTTAAATACCATGATATAGTGACTTCAAAAGTTAGAGAGATTTGCAGACTGTTAAAAACTCATGGATTGCAACATTCATTCATTCACTTATTTAACAAACCCATGGATTATCTATTATATGTTTGGGATTGTGTTAAGTGGAAAACAATAATAGCTACAGTATTTTGAGCACCTAGTAAGGGCCAGAGATTTTATATAAAGTTACCTTAAATAATCCTGTATTTTTAAAATGAGGAAATAAAGTCCGGAGATATAAGGCAACACACTATCAGTGCCAGAGCCAGGATTCAAATCCAGGTTTGCTTGACTCTGAAATCACCTGCTATGTATGCATATGTCACATTGGTTAAGCAGTCAGCTGCTAAGCAAAAGGTCAGCAGTTCTAACTCACTAGCTGCATGAGAGCTAAGACCTGGAAAAATTTAAAGACAGAGAAAAATTTTTTAACAAGCCCACCCAGCTGGAAGAGCCAAAGAGAAGTCATTAGAAATACAAAGGAGGTTGAGGAGGAAGGAAAAAAAAAAAAAAATCAAAGAACCCATAGGTGTTAAAGACTCAGAAGAGTCACACCTGGAGCATTTCAAAGGTGAGCTGGGACCATGAGTAGGGACGAAGATCATACTGGGAAATAAAACAGGACCCCTTTAGCTTGATCTGCTTCCACAAAAATTACAGTGTAGGAAACCCTACAGGGCAATTCTACTCTGTCACATAGGATCACTGTGAGTCGGAATAGATTGAAAGGCACCCGACAATGTTGTGTGCAGGGAAAAGAAGCTTCTTTATTATTCTCAAACAAAAGCTAAATGATGTAAGGGGAACCCAACCATTTTAGACAAACATCTCCAAACTCTTGATGATGATGATAGGGGCTATTTCTCTTAACCTCTCTCATGTCCCTGAGGAGGAGTTACTATCTAAAGTATAAGCAGATTATGTTCTAACAGTGCAGGAAAATTTTTTGGATCTATTATGTTTACGGGACCTCTGGTAGCATAGTGGCTAAGGCACTTGACTGCTAACCAGAAGGCTGGCAGTTCAAACCCACCAGCCACTCCTCAGAAGGAAGATGGGGCAATCTACTTCCATAGTGATACTGTCTCGGAAACCCAAGAGGGGTCGCTATGAGTCGGGTCCGACTTGACAGCACATAACAACAACAACAACATTATGTTTACAGTAAAAATGCCATGTGCTGCTTACCTAAAATAACAAAAGCACTGATCTGGAGAGGAAAGTAGTAAATGTGATACCTAAGAGAAATTGTTGTTGTTGTTGTGTGCCGTCGAGTCGGCCCCGACTCATAGCAACCCCTCCTTGGGATTCCGAGGCAGTATCACTACGGAAGTAGGATTGCCCAACCTTCCTTCTGAGGATTTGCTTATATTCTAAGTAATACACTCCTCAAGTAGAAAACTTGGCATATGTTTTTGTCCAACCCAGGGGCATGGTGCCTCATATCTAGGCCTGTTAGCCTGCCCCTATGGTGTGAATGAATTACTCTTTATCAAGGGCCCATGATGCATACTGAGGGAACATTTACACACTGAAGATGCTGTTGTGACTGACATTCATTAGGTGTGATCTTTGTGGACAAAGTTCTAGAAGTCTCACTATAAAAGTGGTTGAAGGAATAGGAAGATGGTGTCCCAGTAACAGACCATGTGCTAGACTCCTCTATCAACAGAGATTTTCAGAAACTAGATAAAACAGATGCAAATGATGAGTTATGAGGACCTAATGAGAAGATAAAGTATTAGAGCCAATGAAACCTGTGAAAGGGAGTAGGTTATACCACAGAGAAAAATAAAATTTAAAAAAGCCCACCCAGCTGGTAGAGCTGAAGAGAAGTCATTAGAAATACAAAGGAGGTAGAGGAGGAGGGGCAAAAACAATAAAGGAACCCATAGGCCTTAAAGACTCAGAATAGTCACACCTGGAGCATTTCAAGGTGAATGGGGATCACAAGTAGAGACGAAGATTGTTCCGGGAAATAAAACAGGACCCTTTTAGCTTGAGGTACTGCAGAGTCTGGAAGGGAATGGGGGAAAGGGAAGAGAAACTCTCTCTAAATAAACATAACCCCAAAGGAACACACGATGAGTTCAACTCTTAGCGAGCACAGAGTGCTACAGTTGGGGCCTGGGATTTCATGATGTGTGGATCCACATGGAGAAGGGCAACTTTTGGTCCTTTGTGGCAGCTTATGGGGTTGAAGTGGAGGACTATGACTGATGGCTGGGCACGATTATCAGCAGACTGCTCCAGAGGGAGTCAGGGGCCATGGCTGTCATTTCTACATTGACTGAATTATCTCATGCTAAGCACAGAAAACATCTCCTGCCTCTTTCTCCTGGGGATTGGTTCTTGGACCACTGATAACCTTTCTCCTGCATGGGTGTTCCAGTGAGTGAGCACATTCACTCAGCGGCCAGTTCTCAGGGCCATTGGCTGAACATAACTCCTCAAGTATCTTATTCTCCCTTCATTTTCCTTCTATTCTCTTGCTCAGTATTTCTTCCTTTATATCTGGTCACTCCCTCCACAGCTTCCTTGTTTTCTTTTTTTTTTGTGCCAAGCCTTCATTGCTTCTTTCCACCCAGTTTTGTTTTCTCTATTTTTCTTATATTCTTTCCTTTTCCCTATTTCTTATCATCTATTTTTGTATTATTGTTTCATCTCTTCTCTTTGGCTCCCCCCCCACACACACATATCCAATGGGAGGAAGATATTAACCTTCCATTAGGAATGTTGGGCAATCTATTTCTGTAGTGATACTGCCTCAGAAACCCAGGAGGAGTCACTATGAGTTGGATCTGACTCCACAGCAGTGTTTGTGTTGTGTTGTAGTCAGCCATAGCTATTACACTGACCACCTCACCTAACAGAAAAATAGCACCATTAGCTCCTTCCTCACTGGATCAATGACAGGCAGTGGATAACACCTGCTTGTTCCACCTGAAAATCCTCCTTACGATTAACAGAGACTGACACCCACATCCTCAGTAGTGATTCCACCAACAGAGAAAGTGGGAGAGCAACCCATTGTAGCTGACTTAACAACCAAAGAAGTACACCTGCTCCACACTTCCAGATATAGTAAAACATAAAATCAGGGTTAACAAAGACAAAATGTCTAAGAAACAACAGACAACTTCAAATCAAAAAAAAAAAAAAAAACCCTAACAAAACAGGACAAGGTAGTAAAAATCAGTGCCCAAGCTAAAGAATTAGGAAATCTCCCTGAGGAAGAACAGCAATTAGAAATCCAGAAGATGAACACTAAGATTACAGAGATAGATAACACATTGGAAAGACAAAAGAATAGACTACAGCTGGCTGAGGAACACATTTCCCAGCTAGAAGACAAATCTCTTGATGTCAACTTGTATGATGAAATATCAGAACAAAGATTTAAGAAAATCTTTGAAGAAAACAAAACAAAAAAATCTTGGATTAAAAAAAACCTAAGAGTTATATGGGATGACATGTAAAGAACAACATACACCTGTTTGGAATCCCAGAACAAGAGAAGGAGAGAAGAAAAAAAAAAAAAAAAACAACCCACTGAGAAAATTGTCAAAGAGTTGCTAATAGAATGTTTCTCCCATGTCATGAAAGAAAAGATATCCATCCAGGAAGCTCAACTAATCCCATATAAGATAGATCCCAAGAGAAAGTCACCAAGACATATCATAATCAAACTTTTCAAAACCAAAGACAAAGAAATCCTGGGAGCAGCTTGGGAAAAATGAAATGTCACCTACAAAGGACACAGCCAATAAGACTAAGCTCC